TCGCTTGAAACGATCCTCCTCCGCTTTGATAATATTCCACGTCCAAGGGAATACCATCGAAGATTGCTTCGCTTGAAACAATCCTCTTCCGCTTTGATAATACACCACGTCCAAGGGAATACTATCGAAGATAACTTCCCCTCAAATCACCTTCAGTTGCTTTTTAAAAACTTTCCACAATCTATGGAACGCCATCTTGCTGTTTCGATGTTCACTCGTCTTTGAACAAAAAGCTATTTTTTTAGGATATGTTCACGCGCCTCCGAACAAAGAGCTTTGATTGATATACCCACGTGTCTCTGAGCAAAAGAGCTTGATGATATGTCCACACGTCTCTGAACAAAGTGTGGTACCTGGTTTTTAGTGGACTCTTATTTCTGATTGTCAATTAATCCTTCGGGTATTTATAATGGAATGTAAGTTTATTTTTATGGAGATGGATAATTGTTACAACCTTATACAACTAAATAATTAATCTTAACCTCATGTTTGGAAATGAGGCCATGTAGACACCCATTTGTGTCTCCCCAAAACCAAACCCAGTGATGAGTGCCTTTCACGTCGAATCATAATCGAATGAAACGAAAGTGTGGAAAGGTTTAGTGTTGCGGAAAGTTTTATTTCTTTTCTTTTCTTTTCTCTTCTCTCTGTTTTTGAAAACTTTATTTTAAGAAAACAGCCAATCCAGTTTGGTTGGTCCATGATATGGGTCCAATAGTGGTGTAGTTGGATGGGGCTTGCAAAGACCTTTCCAACGATATATTATAAGCCCAATGAATATTGAGGAATTTATGGCCAATTTACTAAACTAGGCCTGGTTTGAGTTTTAAGTACGGCCCAATGATCTAGGGGAGGGCCTAATATGATTTATCATTCCTAATGTAATTAGGAATGGCTTTGGTCTTCTAGAACATTCTAGAAGTTTCTTATCATTCTTAATTCAATTAGGATTCTTTAGAGTTTTAATTAGATCAAATAGCATTTTCGACTGAAATTATATTATTTTATCTTCCAGTACGGTAAAATTATCAGATTTTCGAAAACGTGTTAAAAGTCGGTTTGGCGTCCAACCCCAAGCCTTGGCGCCAGACGCCAGCCATTGGCGCATGGCGCTAGCCACTGGTCCTGGCGCCAAGTTGGTTTTGCGATCTTCAGACTCTGTTGTTATAAATTATCTTTTTTGGTTGATTTTCTCTATAAATATCGTATCAAAAACTCCGTTTTGAGGCACGGATTATCATCTATCATTCACCACTTCTTTTATTCTTAAGTTTTAACGAATTCACCATCTATCTTCACCATCTACAATCATCATTCATCAACAATCTATTTACAAAATTATTCATCAACTCTCTTCATCTTCATCATTCATTCATCAATTTTCAATAACATTAATCTTTTAGCATTCTTTTCTAAACCTTGCTTTTTCACACAAAATTCCGCATTCACAAGATCTAGATACACCTAGCAATATTCAAAGTTGCCTTCGCCTTAGGCGTGAAAGGTTTTAATTTCTGAGGGTTTGGTCCCAAATCTCTACTTCAATTATTTAATTTAATTGCTTTGATTTATTATTTTCCTTGAATTACTAACGTGTGTATTTTGTAATTAGAAAGAGGTACGAGGCATCCAAGTAAGTACTTTGATGGTTTAATTGATTTTATAATGTAGATATCATGCTTAGATTGTTATTTTTGATTCCTAGTATCATGTCTAGGGTATTTTTAATATTAAGTATGATTAAAAGTATGATGCCTCCTATATTCTCCCTAATATTATGATTATGATTATGATTATTTATTATGTTGCTTGATATGTATATTATTTTATATTGTTATTGCTTGATCACCTTTATGCAGGTTAAAGGGAATTGGTACTTGCAATCACGCTTAATAAGATATTTAATAATCTTGTTTAGGGTTAATTGTGATTATAATTCAAGTGATCGCCAATAATAGTTTATTTGTGTATTAAATTCAACCAACATAGATTAAACAGGTTTAGGGTTAAACCTATTGATTGTATGTTAGTTAGAAAGCGCACATGAATACGAGCAGAATAAAGTAGAGGCCTATTATTAGGGCAGGTTCAATCTCTTTTAGGTTGGATTTGTACCATCATCCCCGAACCCTTATTTGGTTCATGACCTTATGGAGTTGGCGGTCTCTTGGATCGTTAAGGGGTGTAACCTTCATCCTATGAACGGTTTACAAGTTCCTTAAAAACTTGTTGGCGACTCTTTTGCTCTATCTTCTTCCCTTTTGGACGCCACCATACTTTAGTGTATGATCACAGTGGGGTTCAAGCTAGTGGGATTTTAAAGGCTTGAAATTATTCCCTACAGTTTTTGGCGACTCCACTGGGGAGGATTTCTATTTTAATTCCTGAATTTGTTTCGGCAATGATCTAGAATGAGTGGATGAGACTCGAAAAGTTCTAAGTGTTTCATGTGCGTAATTTTGATTAACATTATTGTCATATGCATAAAAAGGTTCTCATTGGAAAGACCATCCGTAATGAGTAAAAAACATAGGATTTTACACGTAGGAAATTGGAGAAATGTCTTTCACAACTAGGACTGAAATAACACCGCGCGAAACTGGATGATTTTATTGAGCACAGAAAGCTGCTGAGGCATGTGGGAAGTAGCGTCAGGGGCCAGAGCTTGGCGCCAAACTTTTAGCCGTAGCGCCAGACGCCAGTATTGGCGCCAGGCGCTACAGTTAAAAGTTGGCGCCAGTCTCTGTTTGCTGGCGCCAATTTCCCCCAATACCGAGCCAAAAATATGCGTTCTAATTTCGACCGCTTTTTCTTATTGTTTGCTCGATCCTGCTTCCTAATTGAATTTTTTCTCACTTTTCTGAAACCCATATGTGTTCTACATATGGACATAACCCTCTGGGAATTCATGCTCTATCTACCCGATTGAACGCTCCTGGCAACAAAGGGTACATCTGAGATGTTGAATTCACCAAACCATGGAAGTGAGTTTTTTCTAAAAACTTGCGGTGTTCTATCCACACGCGTTAACCCTTCACGGTTAGGCTTCTACGCAGTGCATTTGGACAATTAACCATGGACTCTATTTGACTAAACCATATCCCGAACTTTAGAGAACTAGAGCCATGGTTAGGTTGCGAACTCATTGCATCTTGTTGTGCTTACTTGCCTAATTGTGCATTATTTGTTGTGCATATATATTTTATGCTCCTCCTAACCGTTTGTTGATTTGTGTTGAGATTATAATTAATGACTTAAAGAACTTTGCCTAATTAATTAATTAATTAATTAATTTGATTCAATAAAAGTTTTTTCTTCTTTTAATCGGAATCGACCTAGTACGACTTTAGGCATACCCAAGTTGACTAATAATTCCGAAAACAGTCCCAGACCGAGGCTCCAACATTGGTGCCAAAATTTGAGTTGTAGCGCCACTGTATGGTGTGTAGCGCCAGACATTTACTAAAATGTCTGGCGCCAATCACCATATTGTGACGCCAGTCCTGTCGCTTAGCCGACAGTTCGGATTATTTGTCGAGTCATCACCTAGGGTCTAATTAACCAGTTTACTAATTAATTCGGTTAATTTTTGCTGTCAACAACACCTTGTCAAGTCATTAATCGAGTCTTGGTCACATAGTCTAGCCACATGGTCATGATACAAGTCTTAACGCACTATTTACACTCACTAGTCTTAGCACACACTTTGAGTACACATCACCATGGCCATGTCTTAGGTTCATGCATAAGTCGGTCTTTTCCGTCATTTGAGTCAAGGGGTACATTCTATCCCTAATTCTTCATATCCCTCCATCTAAATCTTCTTTCACATTCTATTCCGATCTTTCTTCACCTCCTCCATCCATTGCATGTTGAATAAAGTTTGAGTCAAATAATTAACAATAAGTATCCCCAAATTCCTTTTCCACAGTACTTGGTTGAGGAGAGAAGGGCGATTAATCAAGGACAACCTCTTTATTCAAGTCTAGCTTTTTGATAAACTGATTCGTCAAAAGAGGAAGGCTAAGAAGATAATGGCAACTCAAGAAGAAGTCAATGAGCTCAGGAACCAATTGGTTACCATGACTGAAACACTGAAGCTCCTCACACTTAAGGTTGATGATCCCGTGAAGCAACAACGGATGTATCTCATGCAAGAGAGTCTAAGCAAGCTATCTAGTGACTATAAATTTCTGGGCATGAGCTCGCAAGGGGTCTCGCTGGACAAGGAACTTCTTCCGCATAAGTTCAACGCCACTGACATCCCTAAATTCAAGGCAACAAATAACCCTTACTTCCATCTAAGAGCTTTTGAAACTATAATGACCATTAAGGGTATCGATAAGAAGGTTTTCCCCTCTCTGTTCCCACTATCTCTTGAAACCGTTTTCCAACAATGGTTCTTCTCCCTTGACAAGGAGAAAACCTCTACCTGGGAATCGATAGTAAACGCGTTCGTTGATAGGTACAAGTGCAATATCCAAGTTGAAACCGATCATAGACAACTTGAGATGCTAAGACAAAAAGAAAATGAAGGCTTTACTTCTTTCTTTAATAAATGGAGGGAAACTTCCGCTAAGATGATTGAGGTCCCCATCGAAAAAGAATCTGTGAGGATGTTTATCAAGAATCTCCAAGAAAAGTATTCGAAGCACCTAAAATATCAACACAATTTGAATACTTTCAAGGCCGTTTATGACATCGAATAGAAATCAAAGATGACCTTGCAAAGCAAAAAGCTACTGGTAATAGTAACCATGGTGGCTGTAAAGGAAAGAAGAACGACAATCCTTCTTCTTCCGAAAGCGCCCACTCTAGTAACAATGTTAGTATCTTTGATCTTAGTGAAGTTTTAGCCATAGATAACCAAGGATCTAAGAAGCAACTAAGGAAAGACTTCACCCCCATTGGGATGAGTTACGATACTGCCTTCGATCGACTCCATGCCAAAGGACTCATCACTCCCATTGGACCTAGGGGTGTACATGAACAGTACCGGACCTGAAAACCGACCTGACCCGGACCTGTTGGGACCGGACCTAACCCGGACCTGTAGATTAAGGTCCAGTCCCGGTCCTTGAAAATCAAGGTTTCCGGTCCCGGTCCGGATCAGGTCCAAACTCGGGGTTTTCAGGTCTGGACCTGAAACCTGTTAAAAATGCGTTTTTTATATAAAAAAAAAATTCCCAAATTTCAAAAGAAGTCAGTTTCATTTTTGTTAACACACTAACCCTAACTCACTCCTCACTCACTCTCTCTCTCTCTCTCAGCCGACAAGCACACACAGCAACACCCACTCCCTCCTGACCACCGCACAGGCGCCCAGACACAAGTCGGAAGTCGCCACTGCCCACCAGACATCCAGACCAGCAGCGACTACACGCTGTACATCCTGTAGTGACGAGTAGACGACTACACCCTGCATCTGCATCTCACTGTAAGTTCTTTTTTTTTAATTAAATCTAATTATATTTGAATTGGGTATTTTGTATTTCAATTGCTTATAATGATTGTTTGCATGTTTGTAAGTTCTGATTTTTAGTTAATTTTTTTTCGAATTCATGATTTTTTTTTGAGGTTTTTTTTATTTATTTTAAGTAACTGTTTTTGAATTATTTTAGTTCATTTGTTTCGAATGCATGTTGAATTTTGGTATCCTGTAAGTTCTTTTTAAAAAAAAAAAAATTAAATCTAATTATATTTGAATTGGGTATTTTGTATTTCAATTGCTTATTATAATTGTTTGATGTTTGCAAGTTCTGTTTTTTAGTTCATTTTTTTGAATTCATGATTTTTTTTGAGGTTTTTTATTTATTTTAAGTAACTGTTTTTTAATTATTTTAGTTCATTTGTTTCGAATGCATGTTGAATTTTGGTTTCCTTCAATTTGTGTGTTTAAAATCTGTTTATTCTGTGAATTTGTTGGGAGTAGATTGATAAATCAGAAAAGATTGATAAATCTGTTTAAAGTAGATTGATAAATATGTTTAAAATCTGTTTCTTTCGAATTTAGTTCATATTGTAGAATTTGCTGCCTTGCTGGTGTATTGTATATTTGTATGTATTCTGTTTATTTTGTGAATTCTATTTGAATTGTAATTGAATTCTATCGTTTTATATGTTTAGGATCAATAAGAACCACGGATTCTTACTCTTGCAATGTAAGTTGTTCTCACATTTTTTTATAAAATGTTATATGTTTATAATTGTTACTTAAAAATTACTTATATTGTGTATAATTATATTGAAGATTGTGTATAATTATATTGAAGATGGAGAGCTCTCAATCAAAAAGATCTGCTGCTTTTTCTCAAGAAATGTCACAGCCACTTTCTGAAAAGGATATGGAAGAATTGCAATCTACTTTGCTTCCAGATAAGAAGTTAAAAGCGGGGCGGGAATATATATGGAACAGAAAAAGTAAGAGGATATGGAAGAAAATTTGAAAGAGTTACAAGAAATGGAGAAAGGTAGTATTAATTTTATGTACTTGTAATTTTGTTACACCAAATTTATTATTTCATTGTTATCATTCATTAATATATTCTATAATGTTTTTTTATTTAGAGGTGCAACATGATGTATCTAATGATGGAGACGATGAAGTTGTTTTCGTTGACTCATTAGTGTGAATCACGCAATCAAAGGGAAAGCAACTCGCCAAAATTCAAGTTGTCTTTGGATAATTTATGTATTTCTAGTATTTGAGACTTAGAGAATTTATGTAATTTAATGAATTATTTGTTATATTTGAGACTTATAGATTTTATGTAGTTTTTGTCATTGATATTTTCAGATTTTATGTAAACAGGTCTATAATCAGGTCCAACAGGTTATTTATTTTCTTTAAAAAAAACAAAAAAAAAAAACACACAAAACAGGTCTGTTCAGGTCTGGACCTGACCCGGACCTGATTGCTCAGGTCTGGACCTGACCCGGACCTGCTGAATCAGGTCCGGTCCCCGGTCCTCAGAATTGGCTGATTTAGGTCCCGGTCCTAACAGGTCCGGTCCAGGTCCGGTACGGTTTTGGACCGGTGTACAACCCTAATTGGACCTATTCAAGATCCCGCACCTTAAAAGAGATTGCCTAGTTGGAATCCAGACGAACACTGTAAGTACCATCAAGGTAGGGGTCATACTACTGAGAGTTGTTGGAAGCTAAAGGAGGCTATCCAACATTTGATTGATAATAACAAGCTTCTCATGCCTCCAGTTAACAAGAAGAGCGAGTGATGATAAAGGAAACAACACAAGACAAGAGGCGAGCTTCAATGACAAGATTTCATGCCCTCTTTTTCTATTTCTTTTTCATCTTTGCTTTCCCCAATAAGTCTAGCATAGGCACCTTTTCTTTTCCTTTAGATTCATTTTGTAGATTTTTCCTTTTTCTTTTAATAAAAAGGGCATTTATTTTCTTGCATATGATCATTGCATTAATATTGCCTTCAAAAAAAAAACATCATGTCGAATTAAGCACAAGGTATACCAATGATTTGAGGCACCCCTTGTAGCAACTTATCTCCTTTCGCCTTGCTAATTTACAAATCCTTTCTTCATAAACCACTTTGAGCCTCGTCTAACGATAGACCTTTCTTTTTTCAACCTACATTTACCTTGGGATGGGATAGTGTGCAACTTATGCAATTCTAAAGAAAGCTTTAGCAAATTCAAAAGAAAACAATAGCAAAAAATAAGCAATAATAAAAAAAAAACGAAAATAAGTGTACAAAAGGGGAAGTGTTCCAATGTCTTTGATATGAAAATATCTTCGATAAGAACACGTCTCAGATTGCGTCTCTTATCGAGTGCTCGGTACCGTGCCTGAGAAACATGAATGCCGAGTGAGTGATAGACCGCATGATCGGGATTGTCCACACTTATAAAAGTAAAATAAATGCTAAAGCAAAGAGAGCTAAAAAAGAGTAGAAACTCAAGCATGAAAATACAAAGATTCAAAAGCGAAGTTGCACACCTTGGGGGCTTATCTAGGGTCTTGAGCCTTTATCCCCTTCTTCTTCAGCCTTTAGCCTAACCACGTTACAACCCTTAAAAGACCTTTTTGAGGTATACACACACTTGTGCGAGGTTTGGCTAGAGCTACGTTCGGCCTAATTCCTAATGGATACGTAGGCAACCTCACATCGAGGTGCAGCCATAATAAACATGCATTCATATTCACATTCACACACTTACACCATGATAATATCAAGGAATTCCCTATGCTCATCCCTATTCACTTAGAGCTAGACTTGGGGGCTTGATCCGTACATTATTAGCTTACCTAGCCTAAGAGTCACCATTATTTGGCTCTTCTAACAATAATATTTTCCCACATACTTAGCTCTTGCGGCCTAGCTTTAGTGTCACTATCACACACTGCACACATACATGACCAAATATGCTTCCCTTAGGAACCCTTTGTCATGAAATCTTAACACAACGCTGAAGCATGCCTTATCATATCAAAATCACTTATCAATCACAATTGTCATTACATCACGAAGTATGAAGTGCTTAGCCTCCGTGCCTAAGTTACCCAAATGCTTTCATCATGGAGTCAACAGTTGAGATAGCCTAGGATGAATTAATCCTTGAACCTTGAGAGATAGTATCAAAAAACATTTGACTAAGCTCATTCAACATACATTCGAAAACTTCAATTCTTTCTTCGCGTCTTTCTTTTTCGGGAGAAAGTCGGTACCCTCAACACAATTGACGGAAAATTTTTGCTTTTTTGCATTTTCGAGTCGCACGATCACATTACAATGCACACACGAGTCATGTACACATTGATTCATGTCGTGCCATATCACTTTAATTTGAGTCACACGTGTCATTTCACTTTGAGTCGAGTCAACCTCGAGTCAGTCAACCACATGAATCAAGTTTATACCTTGAGTCGTGTCAAGTCAATGAGTTGAGTCAATCAACGCTAAACCTTAGGTCAACCCTAAGATGATTAAAGAAATTAGCAAAGTTCTATAGTCAAAATAAATACAGGTGCAGCAGAACAGGGAAGACCCTATCGCAGCGTCCGCGACGAACAGAGCAAGAAATAAAACGGAAAATTGAATTTAAAGGGGAATATGTGCTGGCGCCAGTCCCTAGGCATTGGCGTCACTTTTTGTGCTTGGCGCCAGACGCCAATTCCAGCGCCTGGCGCTAATGCCATATGTTTGGCGCTGATTGATTTTCAGCGACGCCAAAGCAGCCAGCCACCTGTTGGGGTTGTGCTAGCCTTTTGCAATATATTTTTTTGGGTTCCCTGGTACGCCAGTTAGCCCCTATAAGCGATTTGACATGATTAAGTAGTCAGTTTGATTACAATTGCAATAAGTGATCGACCTGATGAAAGATCGTCTCACTTAGCTTAAAGCACCTAGGCATTGGCTCAAAAGCAGAAAAGGCACCGACGTATAGGTTCAAAGCAACGAAAGCGCCGACGTACAGGCATAGCGGAAGCAAAGTTCGAGCGAGCTTTAAAGATCGACAAGTGTTGGTCTTCGGTAATTTTCTTTGGAATATTATCGCAACATTGAGGATGACTTCAAGTAAAGTTATCTTCGACGGCATTCGTTAAGATTGTGGAAGTTGTCACCAAAGATTTGAGAAGATAGCACGAGATGGGCGGTCTTCGACGGCATTCGCTAAGATTGTGGAAGCTGTCACCAAAGATTTGAGAAGATAGCACGAGATGGGCGGTCTTCGACGGCATTCGCTAAGATTGTGGAAGTTGTCACCAAAGATTTGAGAAGATAGCACGAGATGGGCGGTCTTCGACGGCATTCGCTAAGATTGTGGAAGTTGTCACCAAAGATTTGAGAAGATAGCACGAGATGGGCGGTCTTCGAAGACTTTTGCTATGATTGGAAAGGTTGTCACTATGATTCAAGAAAAGGCTCAAGATGTGGCAACAATGATCGACGGCGTTCCTTAGATTGTGGAAGATCGTCAAAACAAACAGCAAGATGGCGTTCCCTAGATTGTGGAGAGTTGTCACAAAAAACTGAGGATTGTTTCAAGAAAAATAATCTTCGATGGTATTCCCTTGGATGTGGAATATTATCATTGCGGAGGAGGATAGTTTCAGGCGAAGCAATCTTCTAATTTGGAAGCAGTTACAAGGCGTAGCGGTTTTCAAGCGGGATGGCATTCTCTAGCTTGAAGGAGGTCATCAAAACAACAGTACAACAACAATCAGTTACTTTCAGAGACGTGTGCTCGACGGTGCAAGATACGCGTTTCTTAACTCTTTTATCTGTTTAACTAATGCTAAGTTTTGCAGGTATCGGCGTTATAAGATTGATTTAGGATCGCAGAACGTTCTGAATCATTCTCCGTCCCTATCGATACTTTGACTTTCGTTTTTGAAACTTGCGTTTCTCCAAACTTAGTCAAAGTGGGGGCTTCTGTAGACACCCATTTGTGTCTCCTCAAAACCAAACCCAAGGATGAGTGTCTTTCACGTCGAATCATAATCGAATGAAACGAAAGTGTGGAAAGGTTTAGTGTTGCGGAAAGTTTTATTTCTTTTCTTTTCTTTTCTCTTCTCTCTGTTTTTGAAAACTTTATTTTAAGAAAACAGCCAATCAAGTTTGGTTGGTCCATGATATGGGTCCAATAGTGGTGTAGTTGGATGGGGCTTGCAAAGACCTTTCCAACGATATAGTATAAGCCCAATGAATATTGAGGAATTTATGGCCAATTTACCAAACTGGGCCTGGTTTGAGTTTTAAGTACGGCCCAATGATCTAGGGGAGGGCTTAATATGATTTATCATTCCTAATGTAATTAGGAATGGTTTTGGTCTTCTAGAACATTTTAGAAGGTTCTTATCATTCTTAATTCAATTAGGATTCTTTAGAGTTTTAATTAGATCAAATAGCATTTTCGACTGAAATTATATTATTTTATCTTCCAGTACGGTAAAATTATCAGATTTACGAAAACGTGTTAAAAGCCGGTTTGGCGTCCAACCCCAAGCCTTGGCACCTGGAACCAGGATTGGCGCCAGACGCCAGCCATTGGCGCCTGGCACTAGCCACTGGTCCTGGCGCCAATGAGCCAGGGCTGGCGCCAAGTTGGTTTTGCGATCTTCAGACTCTGTTGTTATAAATTATCTTTTTTGGCTGATTTTCTCTATAAATATCGTATCAAAAACTCCGTTTTGAGGCACGGATTATCATCTATCATTCACCACTTCTTTTATTCTTAAGTTTTAACGAATTCACCATCTATCTTCACCATCTACAATCATCATTCATCAACAATCTATTTACAAAATTATTCATCAACTCTCTTCATCTTCATCATTCATTCATCAATTTTCAATAACATTAATCTTTTAGCATTCTTTTCTAAACCTTGCTTTTTCACACAAAATTCCGCATTCACAAGATCTAGATACACCTAGCCATATTCAAAGTTGCCTTCGCCTTAGGCGTGAGAGGTTTTAATTTCTGAGGGTTTGGTCCCAAATCTCTACTTCAATTATTTAATTTAATTGCTTTGATTTATTATTTTCCTTGAAGTTACTAACGTGTGTATTTTGTAATTAGAAAGAGGTACGAGGCATCCAAGTAAGTACTTTGATGGTTTAATTGATTTTATAATGTAGATATCATGCTTAGATTGTTATTTTTGATTCCTAGTATCATGTCTAGGGTATTTTTAATATTAAGTATGATTAAAAGTATGATGCCTCCTATATTCTCCCTAATATTATGATTATGATTATGATTATTTATTATGTTGCTTGATATGTATATTATTTTATATTGTTATTGCTTGATCACCTTTATGCAGGTTAAAGGGAATTGGTACTTGCAATCACGCTTAATAAGATATTTAATAATCTTGTTTAGGGTTAATTGTGATTGTAATTCAAGTGATCGCCAATAATAGTTTATTTGTGTATTAAATTCAACCAACATAGATTAAACAGGTTTAGGGTTAAACCTATTGATTGTATGTTAGTTAGAAAGCGCACATGAATACGAGCAGAATAAAGTAGAGGCCTATTATTAGGGCAGGTTCAATCTCTTTTAGGTTGGATTTGTACCATCATCCCCGAACCCTTATTTGGTTCATGACCTTATGGAGTTGGCGGTCTCTTGGATCGTTAAGGGGTGTAACCTTCATCCTATGAACGGTTTACAAGTTCCTTAAAAACTTGTTGGCGACTCTTTTGCTCTATCTTCTTCCCTTTTGGACGCCACCATATTTTAGTGTATGATCACAGTGGGGTTCAAGCTAGTGGGATTTTAAAGGCTTGAAATTATTCCCTACAGTTTTTGGCGACTCCACTGGGGAGGATTTCTATTTTAATTCCTGAATTTGTTTCGGCAATGCGTCTTTGATAAACTTGAATGTTGTGAAGGGCTTGTAACCTTCGTTCACTTGCCAAAGAAAGTTCATCATATCGTTCTTTAAACCATTGTTCTTCAGATATCTCGCTTTCATTCATTACGCGAAGCGATTGAATCTCCGTTTTGATTGGAAGAAGTGGATCCATTCCATATACCAAAGAATATGGAGTAGTCCCAGTTGGTGTTCGAATGGAAATTCTGTATCCCCAAAGTGCGTAGGGAAGTTTATCGGGCCATTCTCGAGCCATATCTGTCATCTTGGCGATTATTGTCTTGATGGTTTTGTTAGCTGCTTCAACAACTCCATTGGTTTGAGGACGATATGGTGATGATTGGTGATGTCTGGTTTTGTATTTCTCAAGGGTTTCTTTGAGATGGCCTTCAAATTGCGAACCATGGTCGGAAATAATTTCAAAAGGTACCCCATACCGACATATAATGTTATTGATTACAAATTTTGAAACTTGTTTTTCCCCTAGTTTCGAATATGATGATGCCTCCACCCATTTCGAAAAATAATCGACAGCAACCAATATATATTGATGCCCGTTCGAAGCTTTCGGATGTATTTGCCCAATGATATCTATGCCCACTAGTAGAATAAACGTGATGGGAAGCGGTTCAAACCCCCTAATGGGAAGCGGTTTTGAACCGCATGCCATTAGGGGGCTTTCCATTAGCCTTTTAAATGGCAAGCGGTTCTGAACCGCTTGCCATTTGTAGTGAAAGGGCAGCGGTTTTGGCGCCAAACCGCTGCCCATTATGGGTATAAATTTTTTTTTTTTTTTTTTCAGTATTTCCAATTAAATTGAAACACAAACATAATATATGAAAAAACATTAATATTTTTATTAATTAATTGTTGTAATATTACATTTTCATAAAAAAAAAATTAAAGCATATTACAACTGACGCTAGCTGCTCTTGTTCACCAGCCGTGCACATACCACTAGCCGCGGGCACCTCTAGCCGCACGCGCCACCAGTCGCCACCACCAACCACCTTAACCCGTGGTGGTTAAATTGAAATACAAACATTATATATTGAAAAAATAAACAACAATAAGTAACTTAATTTCAGATCTTTTGTGTAAAAAAAAAAAAAATATTCAGATCTTAAATTATAAACAACAAAATTTTAAAGCTAAAAACTGAAACCAGACCCCCACCCACTACGACCTCCACCCACGACCACTACCCACCCACGACCCTAACCCAAACCTGACCCCCACCCACCCACGACCCTAACCCAAACCAGACCCCCACCCACCCACGACCTCCACCCACGACCACCACCCACCCACGACCCTAACCCAAACCAGACCCCAACCCACCCACGATCCTAACCTAAACCAGACCCCCACCCACCACGACCTCCACCCACGACCACCACCCACCACGAATCAAATTAAAATTAAAATCAAAAATAAAACTAAAATCGAAATAAAAATTAAAAAGACCATCAATCTAACCCGATTTTGGCTTCAAATTATGGTTTTAAAGGTCAAATTCGACCATAAAAACTCTAGATCTAGAGTTTTCATGGTCGAATTTGACCTAAAAAACTTATACACCCAGATGCATGCACGAATTTGCTCTCATTGTTCAAAATTGTTCGAAATTTGGTTGAAATTATACTCGAAATTAGCTCGAAAATACCCAACTATGTTCAAATTTGATGAGATGAGAAAGAACAAAGAAAAGAGAAAATAAAAGTAGAAAGGGCGAGTTAGAGGGAAGAGGAGAGAGAGGGAAAACGAGAATAGAAGAGAGCAGCCGAAATGAAAGAAGAAAGGGGCGAAATGAAAGAGGAGAGAGAGAGAGAGCAGCCCGGGGTAAGGAAGAGGAGGAGAAATAAAAGAGGAGGGGTAAGCGCTTTTAGGGTTTTTTTTTAATTGGCAAGCGGTTTGGGGTTGAACCGCTTGCCAAATATGTAATGGCAAGCGATTCAACCCCAAACCGCTTGTCATTATATATATTGGCAAGCGGTTCGCGCCAAAACCGCTTGCCATTTCATATTACAGGTTTAAAAAAAAAAAAGGGTGAATGGCAAGAGGATTTTTAAAACCGCTTGCCTATTGGGGCTTCCCATCACGTTTATTCTACTAGTGATGCCCCAGCTGGAAAAAGGCCATGGAGAAGTAAAATTATTCAGGCTAACTGGCGGCATATGATTAAGGTTTACAAATAGCTGACATCTTTTTCATGTTCGTACGAAATGGATGCAATCACTTTCCAAAGTGGTCCAATAATACCCTGCTCGCAGAATCTTCCGAGCAAGCATTCGTCCATTCATGTGAGGCCCACATTCTCCCCCATGTACCTCTTCCATGATCCTTTGTGTCAGCTCCCCATCGATGCATAATTGCAAATTTCCATCAAAAATCTTATGATACAACAAACCTTTTAACATTGTGAAATGAGAAGCTAGCCTTCGAATAGCCAATTGATCCTTCTTGTGACTTCCTTCAGGATATTCTCCATTGATTAAATACTTTTTAACGTCAGTATACCAAGTATCCTTATCATCTTCTTGGGTTAATAAAGCAATTGTTGGTTTAAAATTAACCACTGGAATTTCTTTTTCTACAATTGTTACCGATTGTACCTTCACATCATCGTCCCAAGTTAAATTTACCGCCAGATTTGCCAAAGCATCGGTGAAACTGTTTTGTTCGCGAGGGAGATGTTTGAATTCTATTTCTTCAAAGAATGGGATAAATTTTTGAAGATACTCCGTGTACATTTGCAACCTTTCGTCTCGAACTTTCCAAGCTCCAATAGTCTGGGAAATTATGAGATAAGAATCATCGTATACTGTGAGATTTTTTGCACCAGCTGCTAATGCCGCTTTGATTCCATAGATGCAGGCTTCATTTTCAGCCATGTTATTCGTCGTTGGGAAACTAAGCTTCACAGCAAAAGGAATATGTACTCCATAAGGATCGATCAAAAACACCCCTGCACCATTTCCCCTTCTATTTGAGGCTCCGTCGAAATACATCGTCCATTGTGACGTACTAAGACAGAAAATATGTTCATCTGGAAAATCATCATCAAATTCATCACCCGATATAGGTCCATCAGCCAAAGCTTCAGATATAGCCCTCCCTTTGACAGACTTTTGATTCACGCACTGAATAACAATTCTGACATATCGCATGCCACCTTGCTATTATTTCACTCAAGATTGGCTTCTCAAAAATGTACTTGATTGGATCTAACCTCGAAACCAGATAAGTAGTATGTGCTTGCAAATAATGTCGAAGCTTCTTTGTCTCGTAAATAAGGGCAATGCAAGCTCTTTCTAAAGGAGAGTATCTAGTTTCATACTCAAGGAACTTTTTACTGAGGTAGTAGATAGCTATTTCCTTCCTTGTACCCTCTTGGTATTGTGCCAAAAGAGCTCCCATGGCTGTTTCCGTAATAGTAAGATATAATATCAAGGGCTGCCCTGGTTTCGACAACATTAAAACTGGAGGATTGGAGAGGTATTTTTTCATTGAATCAAATGAGGCTTGACATTCGTCATTCCATTTTGTAGGAACATTTTTCTTAAGTAACATAAATATAGGTTCACACCGGGTTGTCAATTGCGATATGAACCTACTAATATATTGAATTCTACCAAGAAATCCCCGAATCTCCTTTTCCGTCCTTGGCGGAGGAAGCTCTTGTATGGCCTTTACCTTGTCAGAATCAACCTTAATTCCGTCTTGACTTACAACGAAGCCTAGAATTTTTCCCGAAGTTACTCCAAATACACATTTCTGAGGATTCAATCTCAGATTGTATTTCCTAATTCTATCGAAGAATGATTTTAAAGCATCAAGGTGCGTTTCACGATCATGACTTTTGACAATCATGTCATCAACATAAACCTCCACAATATCGTGGATGAGGTCATGCAAAATCGTCGTTGCAGCCCGTTGATAGGTTGCCCCGGCATTCTTTAATCCAAAGGGCATTGCTCTATAACAAAAGGTTCCCCATGGGGTAATAAAAGAAGTTTTGGACATGTCCTCTTCTGACATAAGCACCTGATTATATCCCGAGAATCCGTCCATGAATGAGAACATGGCATGTCCAGTAGTGTTATGAACCAGAACATCAATGTGGGGTAAAGGAAAATAGTCTTTTGGTGATGCTGAATTTAAATCCCTAAAATCAATGCACACTCTGACCCTTCCATCTTTTTTGGGTACTACCACCACATTCGCTAGCCATTCCGGATGCTTAATTGGTTTAATGAAGTTGGCTTCAAGCTGCTTTTGAATTTCCTCCTTAACTTTGAGACTAACTTCCAGTTTCATTCTACGAAGCTTTTGTTGCTTTGGCTTGCTATCGGGATAGAGTGGTATACGATGTTCAGCAATGCTACGATCGACACCAGGCATATCAGCATAAGACCATGCAAAGACATCCACATATTTTTTAAGTAAAATAACAAATGCATTTTGTTCATCGAGGGAAAGGGTGGATCCTATCTTGACTTCTTTTACATCATTATCTGTACCTATGTTTACAGTTATAGACCTTCCATGGGTGTCACACATGATTTAGGTTCATTGAAAAGTTCATTATTAGAAAATGCTTCATGATCAAGATCAATTTCTTGTACGCAAATATGTTTACAAGTGATTTTATCGATATCTTCATGATATGGGATATCAGGCGGTGTATGGATAAATGATTGGCTAGATGATGAGCTATCGGTTTCATAACCGTCAGAGATAGAGGATTGAAAAGTATATAGTTTAGGGAAAAAAGGGAATTTTTCTCGATTTTCGGATCGGATATTGTTTCCAACTTCTGTTTTTATTGGAGTAATAAGCGTAATGGGATCTAATCGGACTTCATAATCAAAAATTGATGAAAACAAGCCTCTTAGAACTCTTTGCTTTAGATGGTCAACCCAATCAAAATCTTTCTTAGATACTGGTTTCTTATCAAACCATTTCTTAGTAAATTCTTCATTCCTTGCTTCTGCAAAGAAAATTTCTAACCTAGGGAGAATTTTCTCTTTATCCAAGTCATACCAAGGTTCAAGAAACTCATAAAATGGCTCAGTGTCATTTTGCAACACAAATTGCCCATTCAAAGTGAGAGACTTCTTTTTCATAACCTTAGAACCCATGTTCTCATCAAAGCCCAAACCATGACAATTTCGCTTATCGATTATTAGGATTGGGTGCCTCATGCCTTCACCGTTTCGTCCTAAACCAGCTCCTGGAACATAACCCATTTTCAACATCAATTGAAGTCCTCTAGTAAGTGTTTGGGGTATTGGATCTTGGATTTCTTGAATGGAATCCGAGGGTTGAGTAGATTTTCGAGTTTAGTTGGTCATGGGTTGGCAAAGGATACCTAAACATTACATACTAAAGATTAGGATTTCCTCCTTTTTTTTGAAAATAATTAAAAAAAAGTAAACGATAAATGCAAAAATGCATGCGACAAAAAAAAAGGATTTTGGTAAAAATTTAAGGACGTCTATGAAGTTAGATAAGTTAGTGGGGTGTTCATTCCCAAAAAAAAAAACTTTTTAATTATTTCGAGTCGCGCCATAAGGCTGCCTACGTATCTCCAGATAGATTTTTTTGTATTTTCACATTTTTTTTTCTCTCTTTTTTTTTTGGAGAATCAGACCCGTCGTAGTTCAAAACGGAAGAAGAAGGTTTTTTTTTTTTTGAAACAGCTGCACTCGATCAGAGTTGCCTACGTACCCCAATAACAATGTGCGTGCAAGTACAATTTTGTGTATGATCATGAAATAGTGCTTTAGGGGATCAAGCTGTACGTAGTTCTTTGTACCAAAAGAAAACATAAGGAGGAGAAAAAAAATGCTTGGTTTACAGTGCTCATACTACCCCTTTTATTCATCCTTCTTGATGGAGGGTAAGATAGAGGTCACCATGTCGTTGTAGATGCTTCCTTTCCCATGTATAGATTCCTTAGGCTTTAAGGTTTTCAACAGTCTTTCTCGTAGCCCAAGTAGTGACGAGCAATCAATAGAGTGGGATCATCTTTGTGTGTTCAAAGAGAAAGGGAATTTATGGAAACTTTCTTGATTCGGGCAGGAAATTCCAGTTGTGCGCTTTATACACCAACGGAGGGCATGAAATTTGTTAGTATCATGGCCATGTAACTGATGGTAGTGACAATATTTGTTGAGATTTGGTCCAACAGGATCAGCTCCTGCTCGACGAGGTAGTGGCTTGATACGACCTTCTTCGAGTAGTTGAAGGAACAAATCAGCTTGAGAGGCTCGTGGCTGTGCCATGCTTGTCTCTGGTACGCTAGACTGAGGATGGGCCAGAGTGATGATCCCACGATCAATAAGATCCTGGATTGCGCATTTAAGGTCGTAACAAGTATCGGTTCTATGCCCATACAGGTGACAATAACTGCAATATTGTCTCATATCGGTCCCATGTGGTGGTAACGAATACACATAGCTTTTTGCCCGAAGAATACCCTTTTTGCTCAAACGATCGTACACCACACTCAATGGTTCGTCGATTCGAGTGAATATCCTCCTGTTAGCTCTTTCACCTTGAGGGTGCACCTTAGGCCTTCTTTCCTGTAGTCGATAGGCATCAATTTCGTAACCGTGTCTCTCCATGTGCGAGAGATCGGCGTATTTGATGGAGACCATATGTTGATAATAAAAATCATTTAACTTTCTTAGAAATATCAACATAAACTCCCTATCAGTTATGGGAAAACGAAGTCGAGCCCGAATGTAAGAACATCTTGAAAAGAGATGTGAAAATGATTCCCGGTCACTTTGCTCCATATTCACTAGCTTCAGTTTTTCGGTGTCAGTCTGTCGAAATTTAAATGCCCAGTCACTGAATGCTTGAGCTATTTCTCCCCAAGAGCCTTTACTTGTTACCCCTGAGGTATAATACCAGGATAACGCGGGTTCACCCAGACTTCTATTAAACAACATAGGAAAATGTTCATTTGGAACATTCAAAGGGTATAATGTGTTCACAAAGTTGTATAAATGGAGAATAGGATCTCCCAACCCATTGAACTTCTCAAACTGAGGAAGATTAAGATAACGATCTACATGCCTGTAGTTAGGGAAAAGAATCAACTCCTCCAAGTATACCAACCTTCTATAACACAGGACATCAAAATCCAAATAAAAATCCTCGGCCCTAGACCTCTTCCGAGATCCCTCATCATGTTTAAAGGAATTACTTGTCCAAGATTCTCCTCTAAAACAAGGATCGCTATCTTTTGGAGTTTTAGGCTCCTCTTCTACCCCATCTTCATTGGACCAGTTTGTTCCATCTCTAGCTCCTTGGGGATTAATTTCAGAATCATTGTTATTTTCTTGAAGCTCTTCTTCTGGATCTTCCTCAGTTTCTTCTTTCGGATCTTCCTTAGTTTCTTCGTCTTCCTCTAAGTCCTCTTTTGGATCTTCCTCCGTTTCTTGAATCAAATCCAATATTATAAATAGTGAATCCGTCTAATCGACTACCCTCTTCTTCATCTAAATGGAGCACTGATTTTCCAACAGTAGAAACATTCATAACTTCTGGATTACCCACAAGTGTCACTGCACCATGATCTGTGAGCAACTTCACCTTTTGGTGTAAGGTAGAGGCTACCGCCCTATTCTCATGAAGCCAAGGTCTACCGAGCAAAAGGTTAAAGCACGCTTCAATATCAATTACCACAAATTCAACATTTCTAACCACTGGTCCATATTCCAAAAGTAACTCAATTGACCCCAAAACGTCCCTTTTGGCATTGTCGTAAGCCCTAACAACCTGTCTTGAAGGTGTCAAATCTTCTTTTTGATAACCGAGCTTTGTCATAACTCGATAAGGACATACGTTGATGGCAGAACCATTGTCAATAAGTACCCGGGGTATTGTCCACCCATGACATTTCACAGTTATGTGCAAAGAGTTGTTATGGTTGACACTTTTTGGGAGATCATCGTCGGTAAACATTAAAGTGCGGTTGGCTCCCTGAATAAGTCCTACTATTTGATTTGGTGTTATGGATGCATCAATTGAAACCTCATTGAGATGTCTCAGAACAGCGGCCCAATGAGGTTGAGAATGAGTCAGTAACTTCCATATAGAAACATTTGCATTAACCTCCTTCATGCGCTTAATAGCATCATCTTCTTCCTTATTCACCTCTACTAATTCCCTGTCTTTTTCTTTCCTTCTCAGGGCTTCCAAAGGATTCTCATCTTCAAGATATGAAGGTTTAAAATGACGACCTGCACGAGTCAAATGAGCCACATGTAGATCTTCATCATCACTAAGATCATCAAGATAGATCGGACATTGGAAATTACTATGGGTACTAAGGTGTGCCCCAACATTTTTCTCAGCCATTGACAACAACGAGAGAGCATCCTCTTCATCATCTATTAGGCAAAATGCCCCATCATATCCTATAGTGGCGCAGACATTGGAGAACAAATCTCTATTGAAGATGACATCCAAACCTTTGCATGGCACAAGCTTGACCTTTTGCTGAGTGGAGTGATCATACACAACACACACATAATTTCCGGATAATGGCATCTCATACATTTGAGGGTTATTTTGAACCATTAGTAATGTTGGATCAATCTGGTTATTGGTAGTGGATATGGTGTTTATAGAGACAGGAGGCTTATGATTGGGGAGAGGATTATTAGTGATGCTTGGTTGTGTATTTTTAAATTTATCATAGGGTGCCCCAACTGAAAGCCTTTTTCCATCTACTAGATCTTGAATACGGTGCTTGAATGCTGTGCAATTTTCAATGTCATGCCCAGGCCCTTGATGGAATTCACAGTGTTGGTTTGGGTTGTAACTGGGAGGAGGGTTTCTTGGGGGTGGCCTTGGGTTTAAAGGTTGAACAAGGTTGGCCTTTTTTAGTTTGGAGAAATCTTGGGCATAGGTCGTGTTCAAAGGAGAAAAATTCATCTGCGGCCTGAGTTGGAATGCTGGTGCGGCACCGATATTGTGTATCAAGTTTGTTGGTTTTGAGGGTATTGATTCGTTGTTATTGGTTTTCCTATTCCCCCCAAACTTAGGATTGTAAGAGGTGTTACTGCTGCTCCCTTCATCCTTTTTGATATCTCCCTTTTTTATTGCATCCTCTACCAAAGTTCCTGTTGATATGAGGGCTTTAAATGACGGAAAATACTGGAAAGCCATTCTTCCTTGATAGACGGGAAGAAGATTCTTCACTATCATTTGTAATTGTTCTTCCTCGTTCGGCCTATTCACCATCTTTTCAGCCTTGTTTCTCCATCTAGTAATGAAGGCGGAAAACGTCTCATTAGGATTTTGTGCAGTTGTCTCCAAATCCCTCCTTGTCACATCGATCTCTTCATTATATTTGTATTGGCTAGAAAATTCTCGCACAATATCGGCCCACGAAGTTTTCTTTGAATTTTCCAGATTAAGAAACCAATGAGCGGCAGCCCCATCTAAATATTGCTGAAACAATTGTGCCATTAAAGGTTCATCAACACCCCAAGGACTCATAGCCCCTACGTATAATTTTAAGAAATTGGTGGGACTTCCTGTACCATCAAATCTCGTGAGATTGGGCATCTTAAACCCAGGTGGCAGTCGTGCTTTCGGAAATAAGGTGAGACCATGAATATCTAACCAAGGTTCTGCTTTGGTCATACCCTTTAGTACTTCCTTGAGCCTGAGAATATCTTCCTCAATTTTGGTAGGAGCTTCTCTATCACCATTTCCATCATCCAAAAGCAATGGTGAAGCTACCTCTGAATCATGGTGAGGAAGAGGAGCACTTGCACTCTGTCTTAACAAAATCTGTATTTTTTGTTCCATAGTATCTTGACGATCAAGCATAGCTTGCATCATTCCTCGAAGATCATTGGATGGATCAGGGTTTAGCGAACTTTCATGGCCAGGAATCTCGGACATTTCGCTTGGTGGTGGAGAATGAATTTCCCTTGGTGTCGAATGACCCGGTGAGAAGGCTACTGAATCGGATTGTAAACTGTGAAAAGAGGTTTGCCGGACAAGCCTAGATCCTATGCAGGTCCAGGTGGATTTCCTAGGTAGAAAGGGAACATTACAAAAAAAAAAAAAAAAAAAAAAAAAAAAAAAAAAAAAAAAAAAAACTTCTTCAACAAGCTAAAAAAAAGTAAATAAAATATTTTTTTTTAAGAAAAATGAACACCCCTTTTTCTAAAAAAAAAGTTTTTTTTCCAAAAATAAAATAAAATAAAAAATATTGGAC